ATTCCGAAAGAATAGCAAAAATACCAAAAGTCTTGAAAATTTAAATGTGAAAAACCTCGCAAAAATTAAAAAAGTTTTCAAAAACTTCTGGAAAAAAAACAAAAAATCCCGAAGATTCTAGAAAAGTTCAGGAAAGTAAAACATCTTTGTGTATTGTCTAAAAAAAACAAAGAATCTCGAAAACTTCCGAAAAAGTCTTGAACGGTCCGGAAAGAAACCACATAAGTCTCGCAAAAAAGGAAAAACACGACAAAATGACGAAAATGTAGTTAAAAAAAAAACACAAAAGTCATAGAAAAGTCGTCAAAAACACCAAAAAGTCCCTGAATAACAAAAAAAAAAATGCAGAAAAATTCCGAAGAATGTGTGAAAGTAAAAAAATTATTAAAAGAAATAGAGTCCCAAATAGTGTCGAAAAAAATTCTGTTTGATACAGAAAAAATTCCGAGAAAACCTTAAACACTCGCGAAAATTCTCTTAAATGAAAACAAAACCAGATTTAAAAATTTTTAATTAAAAAAGTTCTAAATGAAATACGGCCCCGAGAAATCTTTTAAACCACGAAAAGTCGCGAAGCATTTAATTTTATCCCTCAAAATATAACATGAAGAATGCCGCAAAAGTTCAGAAAAAACAAAGTTCCGAAAAGTATTTTGAACAAACCTGAAACTGGCTAAGACCTTATGATCTTTTGAGACCCCAAACAAGCTTCCATCTATTCAATAATCTTATATTCGAATTAAAGTTTTCACCTCATCTCTATTTGCAGCATCTGGGAACTTATACTGGCGGATTTTGGGATTTAGTCTTCAAGAACTTAATAGACTTAAGTAATAGTTACTTTCCCAACAGCGAATTACAAATGCAAATTAGTTCTCTACCCGTTGCCGAACAAATACCCATACTGCATCGCATTGGTGGGTGACCGATTTGGCTCGAACTTAAGACCATACAATATTCTACACAACCACCTCTTTCAGATCACTCCGTCCACTCTATGCGTTTGTGGGTGAAAGAGCAAGCCAAGCAACTTTGTTGCGAATGGCAAATGGATCGTTTCTTTCGCATACTGGAGCATGATGTGCGCGTTTGTTTGGCTGGTTTCAGCTCGCACAAGCTACCAAAACTAACTGCCGATCTCACAGATATACTCATGCTGGTCAATGTTGCATTGCGCGCCAAGTTGATTCTGGAAATTAATGTCAATATTGACCAATTGAAGGTAACTTACTTGATGTCTACTTTCTTTTGCCTTATTTATTTACAACCCACCTGTTTCGTAGAAAACCAACGAAGAATGCGTACAAGTCTTATCGGAAGTTTGTCGCATACTCAGTCTTGCCAATTTTAAACTCGCCTTCCCGCCCGCATCGCACTGGCAGCAGCGTGTCTTCGACGAAGATGTGAAAAGCGATTATGTCGATTATGTGCTGGATCAAATATTTCTGCCTGCCATTAAAGCCACCAAAGATTTGGTTATATTGAAATTGATTTTGAAAATCATTTGTGAGGCTTGGTTGGATTATATTTATATGAAACGTATCAAATTCAGTGTGAATGGCGCAGTGCAATTACTCGGTGACTTCGATTGCGTACGCGAATGGATATTGGCCTGTTCGCTGTTGGACACTGAGCAGTTGGAGAAGTTGAGTAATCACGAGGTGTTGCGCATGTGCAAAGGTGTGGGTAAAATATTATTACGCAAGCCGGAGGATGTGATTTCGATAATTCAATCGCCAAAATTTGAGTACGATCGGAAGGCTGTCGGAGGTCAGTAGATGATTGAGAGCGATAATATGGATTAATATATATAAAGTTTTAAGTAGAGCACGAGATGAATTATAGATTAGGATTATAATCTTTTTTTCGCAGAATCAGAATTCCGAAGTAGCTCTAGTTTTTGCGAAGTTTTTGATTTAAAGAGCAGTCCAGAGTTGTTGCTGGTTTGAGCCACTTGCATATTCGGCCATAGCGAATTTATTTAATCTAAAAGTCTAAGAAGGGGCCGCTGTGGTGTAGTGGTTAGCAGTGCGCGCTACCACTCCACAGGGCCTGGGTTCAAGCTCTGGTCAAAGCAAAAAAAGATAGAAAATAGGTTTTTTCTTAACAGCGGTTGCCCCTCGGTAGGCAATGGCAAACCTCCGAGTGTATTTCTGCCATGAAAAACACGCCACAAATCGGAGGAGAAGCTCGGCCAAACACTTACACATTGTGTAAGCGCGAATCTATTATTATTATTATTTTTTTTCGAATGAAGAGGGAAATGCTTGATGCACTGGCCGGGGGCACTAGTCTCTATACCACCGTCGCCGAGTGTGGGACTCCCACCGAAGCGTGTTGGGCTACCCGCTAAAACCCAAACTCTCACCGCCCGCGCAAGAGTCCCGCATCTGGCACCGCAATTCTGCATGTCTTCAGATGCAGGAGCGAGTTACTTAAGCCTCAAGGCGTTTCATTTGGGTGTCCTCAGTAGATATCTGTCTTCTCGTTTGCAGCGGAGTACGAATTTCACGTATCTCGCAACAGCTTCCCACTTGTGTGCGCTGGAGATTATTACCCCAATTACGTTGTTCGGGGTTATGTCTCCGTATCTTTCTTCCAACATTCTGCGCGAAGATAAGAAGTGCTCGCAAGTGAAGAATGTATGGGTCGACCCTATTAAGCTGGCATTTCAGGGTACTATTTTATATATATATAAGGAAAATTTTAAAGTTAGGGGGGGAGGGGGGGGGGGCTCGAGCACCCCCCTGGCCCTACCTGGCTACGCCCGTGCATACATAAATATTTCATGTAACTCGTGTATAAGTTAAGTAAACTCGACCTTTCAAAGAGGTGGAAACGATCTTCAAAAGTATTTTCGAACGTTTGACAGTATGATGCACATTTCAATTAACTGATCAGATAAGTTGAATTTCGTTTTTTAAACATGTGGCAACCCTCTTATATAGGCCAATTAAGCATTTTCAATTACGTTTGCCTTAATTCGACTTGAATTTGTTTTCTTCAACATGTGACAACCCTTCTAAATATAGTTCTGAAATGAAGCCTTTTCAAACCCATTTCCTATAAATTTCAAACAGGTGGCACCCCTTTTCAGAGACCTCAAAAATATTATCAATGTTCGAACTTAAGGTTTCTTAACACTCTTTCGTTTGCCATCCATATTTTGGTATTTTATATAACTAGTGTATAATTTAATTGTATTCGATTTTTCAAACAGGTGGCAACCAAAGTATTTTTTTTTTACTAACTTTCTTAAACCTCGTTCGTCTTGTGGGTGCCACATTTATTTCAATTATTTCATTTATTTCAATTATTTCATTGCCTTAATTCAATTTGAATTTAATTTTTTTTCAGGTGGAAACCCTCTTATATGCAATTAAGAAATAAAGCCTTAAGGCCCCCGCCAGATAGAAATTCTTTTCTGCGTCACAGGGATGCTTTTGACTGACAAGACGCACATAACATTGCGAGGCGCCACAATGAAAACGTTGCCGCTAACAAAACGGCTCGTTTTGATTGACCAAAAGTCAGTCGGTCTGAATTCGTTCCATACATTGTTGTTTTGCCGCATTGACGCGCGTCGAAAGTTGAGAGTTGGGCGATTTTTATTAAATAACTGTAATTTAAATTTTTAACAGGTGGCAACTCTTTTCGAAAAATAAGACCTTATCGCAGATCTAAGCCCTTTAATTTGACACCAAATTTTTGAAAAATGAACGGTACAAATCTGATGACATTAACAATAAATGCCCTCGCGTATTATCTATGTACACTAGGGTGCATCAGTCTCCATACAAAAAATTGGTACCGTTTCTCCATCGAAAATATAAAATTTATTATATATATTTTAAGACTTCAACCAAAATATTTGAGCAATACCGAAAACTCCATCAGAATATGATTTCAGAGAGGGCGACTCTCTTTCGTGTGATTTCTTTAATCTGATGTTGGATGAGATAATAACAGCGTTATATTTTAAGACTTTTGCCAAAAAATTTCGGAAAAATATTAAGAAATCGTTTTTTTTTTATAAATAAAAGTATTTAAAAAATTTTTTCTAAAAAATCAACTCAGATGTTAGAAGAGCTGAGGCTTAGTAGTACATATGTACTTATGTAGGTCTGCATAAAAATGTTTAAAAATCGACTCCGCCGTCATAAACAGTGGTGTTGTTTCCATCCAATTGGGTGGAAAAGTGTAAGAGCTCAGTTAGTCTAGACTTAACTTACGTAAGAAATCGTCAATGATTACGCAACACGTCAGTCTTGCCATAAGCAAAAATATTTTGTTTTTTGTATTTTTCTTTTCAGCTGATTGTCATTTTGCCGCCTATAAGCCACATCACAATATTCCTGAACGAAAATATATTGCGTTGGCCAATATATGTACTAGGTTACGTTACGTAAATTAAGTCTAGACTAACTAAGCCTTAAGGCGGGTAGCTTCTGATAAAAATTTTAGATGTCTTCCAATCGCTCAGCATTTCAAGTGAATGTATATTTCTTTAGTTTGTAATTTTATTTACATACTTCAAATAATCTGCTCTATGTTGTTTTATCTTCCCTTAGCTGATGCTGCTGCTCAAGAAACCCAATTACCATCGGAAATGTTTGTGTCAAACCAAAAAAATTGGTTACAACTGCGCGCTAGCAAGGGAAATATTTTCAGTTGGTGTTGTGGCGATTCAGCGGTGTAAATTAAAAAAAAAAAAAACGATTTATTAATTTTTCATAAAAAATAAATTGCAATAAACGGAAGTACAGTTGCCACAAAAGTAAAATCGCAACATAAATGTCACATTTTAAATAAGAAATAAATGACATTCCAGCTTAATATTTTTTTATTATAAAAAGTCGCTTGCATTACTTTAGAAAAAGTGTGCTTATACAAATGTATGTATGCATGTAAATTTTATTTCACAAACGCATAATAAATGAGTGAGAAATATGATTAAAATTAAATGTGTTTTTTAGGGAAAAAACTCGGTTGCCCCACATAAGCTCTGTTACGCTTATGAATTGTTGTATTCTGTATAGTTTTCAAATGTATGCATGTATGTATGTTAGTATGTTTTTGTGTAAAACATATTTACAATTTTAAGCCGGCACTTTGCGACTAATTTTGTTCACCAACTCATCGACACGCTCGCTCATGCCGGCAAATTGCTTTGGATGTGGACCGATCATCTGAATGATAGCAGCAACATCGGCGGAGACCTATTGTTAAAAATTCATTAAAAAGTAAGAAGCTAAATAAAAGAAATGCGTGAAATATGTGTGTGTAGAAGACCTCACCTCCAAGAAACGCGCCAATGCCTTGAGCGTACGGAAGACTTGTTCTTCGACTGGATTACTTTGAAAGAATTGCAAAATTGCCATGGCCAATTCGACAGCAACGTCATCGAAGACCTGTAAGTAATTTTTGATATTTAATTAGCGAAAAATCTAAAAAATATGTAAAACTAGTAAAACCGTATGGAGTTGAAAGGCCAAAAATCATCGCTCAATAAATTGCAAAAAATAGGAGAAATTTTCAAAAATTGCGAAAATTGTGCTGGTCGCAAACCAATTCAAATTGTAACGTAAAAATTAGCGAAGTGAATATTATACCAATATTAGAATGTTTCACATAACTTGTTTATTACTTTTCAAACAGGTGGCTACCCATATTTTAATAATTCTTACATTTAACATGTGTATAATTTATTTAAATACGATTTTTCAAGTAGGTGACACCCTCTTCAAAATATAGCCATAAGCATTCGGCGAGACGAACATTTAGGTACGCGTCTTTCCCGAGGGTTGACGTGGTCCAAAGTTATGCAGTAACATACATAAAAAAAAAATATTCCGACGAACTGATAACCTCCTCCTTTTTTGGTAAAAAAAATGGCCGAACCACGCCTTTTACCTCTTTCGGTGACACCTATGTACATTCGGAAATATTTTTTTTTTTTTAAATCTAATTATATTGGACCTCTACAATTATTATTATTATTTTTATTTTTTTTCTTCTTCTAGGCGAGACGAACATTTAGGTACGCGTCTTTCCCGAAGTTTGAAAAAGTTTGCCGACTCATTACTTTTCCCTGCTTGAAAGACAATTTCGTACCTTCTAAGGGAATAAAAAGTGTGACGAATAGCTATGATATAATACATTTATGCAATAGATCTAACCGTAAAGATTATGAGCTAACCTGTAGCCCTTTTCTGGTTTGCAACAGCAAACTCTACATAAAATATTATGTATGTATATGGAAGACAACTGTCATAGGAAGGAGAATCGAACGCTGAAGTTTATCGTAATTGATTAAAGGCACCATTTATGTACATTAGGCCATGTCAATTCAAAAGTATTTTTGCAAGGCAATTAAAAAAAAAATATTAATTGGCCGAACCACGCCTTTTACCTTTTTCGGTGACACCTATGTACATTCGGAAATATTTTTTTTTTTTAATTCTAATTATTTTGGACCCCTAAAATTATTTGCACTAATGTAACATACTCACCACTGTCTTCACTTCCTTAATGGCTATATTGTAGAGCATCATGGAGCCGGTGTTCTTCAATTGCGGACAATTTGACAGTATGCAATGTACTGCCACTTTTGTTGTAACGCGTATATTCGATATCGTTTGACCCATATAATCCCATTCGGAGATATAAAGCAGCCATTCAGAGGGGCCCAGATTTTCAAAAAGATTGCACATCTACATACATATATTAAGCAAAAATACAAGTTTTATTTTTCTGCACAATCACAAAATGACATCGTCTTACAAACATTGCCCACGCTTGCTGTTCTTCGGGTGTATGCTTTTCAATATCTTGTGCAAAATTCATTAGCGTATGATCTCGACGATCCTGATGCAGTATAATGATGACATCATCTTTCAGCGCTGCATAGGCTAATGTACGTATTAAATGTACTCGCGTATCGGGTGAAAAGTTTTCTTCGCGCAATATACGCTGCACGAAAATTAGGAAATTATCACCTAGTACCCATGAGCCTTCATCTTCGATTAGGTACTGGTGCAATTCTTCCATGGCAGCCTCTTCTTCTTTGTAAATTCTACCGTCGAGCAATTTGACGAGGCATTCCAATTCAGTCTTAATCTGTAAGGAGAAGAAAATGCATGTTATTAGATGTGTAACTCAGAGGTGTGTATGGAAAAGTAAGGAACTTCATTTTATTTTTAAACCAGTATGGAGAGATATCCTTATCCTACTACGTTTAGTCATTTCGCATGAGTCCCTATTAGAATTTGACCTATCAGAACTCCTGTCAACACCAATACCCTTCGCTTAGTCAGCTTAAGAAGCTCCTTTAACCGCCTATCGTCAAACACCGGACTAAATTATATTACAATTTAGCATATCGAGTTTTTTGCGCAGCGCTCGGTTATCTGAATAAAAGCCCATCTGTACAGGAATAGGACAGAGGTTGTCATTCAGGACTCCATTCGGTTATGTGTTATATGTTGGCTAATAAAACTCGGTGTGGAGTACTAACTTGAGCAATCCTAGTGCCCTTTTTACCGTTTGGCAACCAGAGTAATTAATATAATCAGTATTATGCTAGTAAGTAGCCGGTCGTATTCCTCCTTAATCGCGGCCACCCTTGCCTGAAACACACTGCAGAAATTCGGAAGCTTAAACGTGACAGAACACATCCCCACAAACTCCTCCGTTGAATAGCGGCCCATCCGTGAAAGCTTTCTTCTATAAGCTTTATTTCCCCCACTCAATAGAAATTCGGGAATAAAATCTGAAACTGCGAGGGGGATGTATACCGATTGCATAAGATCAGTCCTGTGTCAGGGTTACTGACACACAGCTCCCTGATTTGGTGGCCTAGGCTAAACAAATAATAACATATTAGTAAACTAAGAAGTAAAAAAAGGGCAGCAAGGGATGCACTAATATCTTGCCCGACAGGAAAGCTAAAGCTATCTTCAAGCTGGTCGCTATCGATCTTCACACGAAAGGAATGGCTATGAAATATATTGTCAGACTTAGAGAGTTAAGTATTTGGGGGACTGCATACTTGAGGCAAGGGTTTATGATTAATCGCGTGCAGTTAACCCCAGCTTTATTAGAAGGTTTTCGAGTGGCCCTGCCATTCTCAGGCAGATGAGAACGTGTGTTTCGAAAATAATGCAATTCAATTAAAGAAAAGGAAAAGCTGCATCATTTGGTATATTTCCCTTCTAAAGAGAGCTGGATCATAACGCTTTAAAACGCTGGCCGTTGCAAAAAAAATTTAATAAAAATTCGAACACGGAATGCCTACCGCGACAAAAGACCAAAAATAACTACTTCCAGAAACCCGCTTTTCCTTGTTTTACCTACTGGGATGTATCGTTTTTTTTTTGTTTTAATTTATCAGAGTGTATAAGTATGTAGTACGAGTAATTAAATTTCATATAACACTTACATTGATGTCTTTGTGTACTAGAGCAGGTTCGCGTGGGATTTCCTTCTCCTCAGTCGATTGGGAGCGTTCTGTGCCATTTGCGCGTTGTTGCTGACGCGGAGTGGATGCTTCGCTGTCTGACATATTCACCTAAAAATACCAATAAAATTTAAATGCCGGAATGTGGAAAGAAAATGGTAAATATATGTACATGTGTATGTACATATACTAAGTATGTTTGTATAAATATTTATGAATCTATTAAACATGCATACATACATACATACATTAATATAAAAATAAAGGTGATACCACTGTTAATACATACATATATGAATTGTCAAAAGGAGTAAAATTACAATTTTTTATGGTCTAGTGTACATATATACATACATATATATTTAATAAATGTATAATTCACATAAATTAATTGTACACTTGGAAGCATATTCTACAATCTACCATGTAAATAACCGGGAAATTGCCGCACAAAAAGCGCTCATTGGCAATAATTTTATCCATTGCATGGTTAATCGTTTATATAACCCCAACAAAAATCTGTTTATGCGCTTCATAAAGTAAAATTGGTGTGATGCATATTTGTAGTGTATTTATTTGTTCATGTGTATGTGAGCAGAGACTTTTATGTTGCTTTTTTTTTGTTTTGCAAAACGTATAGAATTATATAGGTAGTGCACAGCTGTCAATATATCGCGGGTCTTTGGTGACAAGACAGCCAGCATCATCTGCTAAGGAAGCTTTCATTTTGTTAGAAAGTGGAACAAATACATTAACTTTGTCGGAAGTAAACTTGCCCCAGATTTAAAATAAATTATTTTTGTATCTGCGCTAGTATTTCATTGTATTCCTTTTCAAAAATCCTATGCAAAAAGTATTATATGAAATTACTATTTTTGTTGTATTAAAATTGCAAAATATTTGTGAAACTGGTGGCCTCGGCTACTAATTTGGCCTCCTTTCTTTTTTAGTTAAATGTTAAATTATATCTATACAGAAGAAAAATTAAACTCTAGAAATAATGATATTTAAATGATAACACAGGCCTGCAAAACTGAAATTTATTTTCCCCCTTCTAATAATTATGTTACCTTTTCAATATCTAGGCAAGTTGAATTGAAATACAGCCTTTTTCTCATCGAGATTTATTTTTATTGATGACACGCATACATATTTTAGAATTTTTAACAATTTTCACGAAAAGCCAAAAATTAATCAAACTTAACTTAAACAAACAGTATAAGTTAAAAATACCCATAAAGAGACTAAGTAAATCAGAAAGACTTATGGAAATTCCGAAGTTAACGCTAGTAATACACTAAGAAAAATGAAAAAAAAACAATTTTCTCGGAAAATTAATGCGATGTAATTTTTTCACTAATTTTTATTTTCGTAGCTTAGTACCTAAAGCTACGTTCACACAGAAAGCCGAGGCGGAGCGAAGCGAACTCCAGGTCTTCACATTAAACGAAGCTGAGCGGAGCTTTTCGCATGGACTCGGACTGCAAAGATACCACAAAACTTACCGTCAGTGAAAAGCGCCAAAAATATTTGACTAATTTTGCTCAAAAGATTAGTAGAAAAATTCGTTCTTAGAGCGTGTGTGAATCGGTAACAAAGTTTGCAGCGAGTAAATTTTTAACACTATGAGGTGAATAAAATTTAAGTAGCTCATTAGGCTAGTGAAATTTTTGACAAATGCATAGAAAATTTTGGCAATCGCAAAGATTGCTGCTGTGTGTAATTTTTCGTTAAATAAAAGCTTAAATAGATGAATTGCAATGAACGATGGTAGACGTTTTCTTAAAATATTAATTTCACTTCAATTTGTAATATTTTATTCCGCATTAATCTGCGGTTATCAAAAATTTACTGCTGTCAAAAAATATTATTCAAAAGCTTTCCCCATAGAACTTTATTACCGATTCACACACGCCCTTATTTAAATATTTTGAAATCTTGTTTGCAGCACCGTCATGAAGCTGAAAAATAAAATAGAAGCTTCAAAATTAAAGTTCCTGTGCTTTCAGCTCCAAGACGCGTCTGAAAAAGCTTGCTGTATGAACACTTTCATATATTTAGCTACAGCAATTTGAGAGCTTTACTCCGCTCTGAACGGCTTCGCTCGGCTCGGTTTCGCTTTCTGTGTGAACGTACCCTAATACGTTCCCAAATTGCTTGTTAGTTTTTTTAGGGGAAAACTATCACAGGCCTGTTTAATGAGAGACATAAGGGCTGTTCGGGATGTTGTGAAAATGGTCTTCACAAAAAAAAAAAAAAAAATTAAATCAAAGCGAGACAGTCTAGTACCGTTTTTGTGATGTATTGTATATGTGAGTGCCGTTTTTGTGTATGTGTTATGTACATGTTTATTTATAAACGGGTTTATTGATATATCTGTACTGTAATGTTTTCGGACGGTACAATCTCTTACTGTCAATACAGGAGTATTACATATATGGTGTCATTACATTAAAAAAATAGTCATTAAATTACTTTCCACATGGCATTTTTTAAATACCTCCAATTTTTCGTCATATCAATGCCTAGTGGAAATTCGGCATAAGATTTAGATTAACAAATAGACAACGTAAAGCCGCTTAGTGAAGGCACATCTCTAAATAAGATGGTCCAGAATTATAGAATTCAATTCATATGAATGCCTGGTGCCGGCGTCCAGTGGGGGAGGTTGCAAAGCCGACGTATAGCCAAGGAAAGTTACTACCATCTTTCTAGGAAAGGACACGGTAAGTATACCTATGAGCACTTTTAAAACATGAGAGAGAACGTAATATTCAATGGTCCAACTAGGGACACGAATTTCGATACGATACGATACCATATCGATACTTTTGGCATTCGATACTGATATTTTTTACTCGATAGTTTTAAAACGATATTTTTTGGAATCGAGTACCAGAATCCTAGTATCGTATCGAATGTCATAAACTCAAATTAGTCAGCTTTCAGACACGTCAAGTCTTGCTTTCAAGTCTACTCCTTCCAAGGCGAAGGAGGTGAGAAGGAAAGGGGAAGAGTGCAGATACCTCCCATTTAAAGAACCACGAACTTGAATTCAATAAAAGTTGACGCGTCTGGAAGCAAATAGAAAACACAAAAGAGAATGCGAAAAAATTGCTTTCAAGACTAAGGGCCGGTTGTTCAATGTCTGATTAGCACAAATCGGAGGTAGAAGCTCCGGTTAAGCACAACTACTGCTTTATCGATCACATGTTACATGCATGATGTCGAAATCGTCGATAGTGTAGTGGTAGTGATAACCAGACATTGAACAACCGGCCCTTATCTGATTATCAACTCCTCCCGATATAAATTGGGCTTTAAAGAAAAGAAATTTTTTACTATCGTTAGGATTGCATGTGGCGGGATTTGAACACGCGGAGCTTCTCCTCCGATTTGATGCGTGCGCATTGATGTTGTGCCACAAAGGCCGTTTTTATGAGAAGCTGTTTTTCATTGCAGAAATACGCTCGGAGCTTTCTAATCACTTTTTCAGATATTTTTATTTTTTTTTGATTTTGGTATCGATATTTGCGATATCGAGTTTTTTTATTCCGATATTAATGGGTACCCGATATTTTTCCAGCGATACTTTAAATGAGTACCATATCGATACTTTCGGTTCGATATCGTGTCCCTAGGTCCAGCTTTTAATTCTGTGAAACCTCCAAGAACATAGTAAGAGAAGCAAGTGTGCAACAACTTTCATGCCATTGTCCACTTTTAGGCAGAAGGAAGACTACGCACGCTTGGCAAACTACAGCCTTAACAAAGAGATTTGTTTCCGAGTGATATTTTAAATGGATTGGTACTTGGCCTATATGTACGGTGACCATATTAACCAATGTAAAATAAAGGACATTTTTTTCAAAATTATTTGTACAACTTGTACGATAAAAGTACCTTACCCATATCGTAATTTAAATCAAATATTTAGCAGTTAATTAACCGATTCCGGAAAATGAAGCCAAATCCTTTTCAAGGACTTCGTCATCCTTTGCTGCCAAAATACATTTACCGAAGTCAGCACACAGAGGTTCAAAATTGGAATTTAATGTTCGTAATTCACCGCAGTCTTCATTTTTCAACCAATTTTTACTAAAAACCAAAAAAAAATTATTTTTGTGAACCTTTTTTTATAACATTTAAAGCATTTTTTTGTAATTTTTTCGTTTTGGGGAACCATAAAATTGTTTTTAACTAGTCTTTGTTATGTAACATTTATTAACTAATGTCTTCTCCATTTTATTCAAAATTGCCACTTTTTCAGCATTTTGCACTAAAAAATTTAATACAATCAAATAAAAATTCACAAATCAGGCTCAACTAGTATCTTGCAAATAAATGAATGCAAAAATGAAGGCTCCAGTGAATTACGAACACTAAATGCCACTTTAGACCACTGTGCAGCAGGTTTATTGTTCTCTTTCAATGGAACTGGAAACTCAGCGTGTAAAACGATCCTGTGCACAACTTTCCCTGTGCTTTATATATTGTGCAAAGATTACCTATTAAATAAAAACCCTTAAGTGGGGTGCGAAACAAACTGGCGAAGATTTTCGTTATATTTTATAAGGAACATTTTTATTTTTCATATTCTGAAAAATTTACCTCTGATGCAGAGCTGATTTAAAGGACAGTTTAAGAAATAAAGGACAAAACGCGTCCTTTATTTTGAAAAAAATTATAAAGGACAGGGGGTTAAAATAAAGGACTGTCCTTTGAAATAAAGAATCCAGCCTAATTAAAAACTGACTAAATTGATTTAACTGCCCACTGGGAAAATAGGTAAGCACCTTGCGAGGTAAGCCATGTTTTCTTTCAGTTTTTAGTACCAAAATTGTCATCATAGCCAATGTCATCTACTAGTAAAGGGCAAAATGAACACCTCCGAAGACACATTACGTTGTCAGTTGCAAAATAACGTGCAGCCGAAGTTATTTCCAAGCACCGAACTACTCCGAGCGACTGCTCTGCATTACACGTAACTTACTTTGTAAAGCGGCTCAGAAGTATATCTGATACCAAATGTACATTCTAAATTCCTACTTACATAAGGCGGCCATGCCTTTGTAAAAGTAAGGGACGTTCGGCAGGGAAATGGTAATGACTGCCAGGTGAAGAGTAAGTTGCTAATACGGTATTATTACGTGCTCCTAATTCCCACTGGGTGCCTAATTCTTTTCCTACCGGGTACGTATGTATTGGTGTAAAATGTCTGTATGGATTTTAGTACTTGTGATACAACGGATATGTCGGAATGTTGAGATGATTTTTCATATAAACAAATGTTGTTGGCTTCCTGAGTTCATACAAAACGCGCGAACAAGTAGACGGCGGCAGAAGGTGTAATAGAAAGACACTTTCTCAACACTCTTTGAAATACACTTAAAAATATAAGCAGTGTGTGTATGTGTGTGTGTGTATACATATGTAAATAGAATTTAGATGCAGTGCATGCACAAGCGAAACACTTTCTTTACTTTCATGTCTAGGCTTTTTCAACGCTCTTCCACACCTATGGAGCGAATTTAATAAATTAAGACAGTAAAAATAAGTAAAAAAAAACGCGCATATTTCTTAAAATAGTATCTGTATTTATAGACGGGAAAGTGGGGAAAATTTGTCACCGTCTGCCTTCTCATCTCTGTTTTGCTTATTTTCTTTTCGCTGAAAAAGCTATACTCGTACAGACATACAGGAACAAAAATGCAATGTGAACGCAACTTCTGCGTTGCTACGGGCTCGTCACTGTTGCTATTCTTAGAAAAAAATTCAATTTCAAAACTTCAACATTTTAAAATTTTTGAAAAGTTCCTGCATTTTTTAGTTATGGTTGTTCAAATATGGAAAAAAGGTGACTGGCTTTTGTTATGATTTTCATTAAACATCGCCACACATCTCATTTCATTGGGATTTCTTAAACTTTTTACTCACTTTTGTGCACAACTTTTTTCGTTAGATTTTTTTTTTTTTAATTACGTTTGCTTTGCTTTCTGAAATATGCTTTAAAATGGGTAATTATCTTTGGAAACTCCTTTTTATCACTTTTCTATCGTTTATACTCATTCACTTTTTTTTATGTATTTTTTTAATATTTTGTCCAGTCCCAATACTTTAGAAATGATCCCACAAGCACCCGTTCACTTCGAAAAGAATTTTCACATTGTCGCCGCGAATCGAGCGCGAACTTATGATTCGGCTTTCCGAAACATGCTTTTGCCACAATTGAGTTAATTTGCATATAAATAGAATTGGTTACGTTGCGTACTCGTAACGCTGCAGCATTTAGCGGCGAATTTCGGAAACACCAAAAGTTGCATGCGGCCGGCCGGTTTGGTGAGCGTTATACGTCGATCGAAAGAGCAGTGCACAGTGGTTTATGTATAAGTGGAAATAAGTTAAAATTTTATAGGTCTTCAGATCTTCCATTTTATTTATTAAATGCACATGGAAAAGGGGTTGAATATCTATTGTTTCACCACGAATGTGTTTTAAGAAGATTAAGTCTCGAAAATTTTTCCAGCTGCGTTGAACTGCGGCTTTCTTTTTATCGGTTTTATGGCATTTTTAACGCGTTTTAGAGCTTTGGTTTGTATGGCGGGTATGCTTTAAAATAAATCGACCAGGTCCATGTCTCGTTGCTTTCTTCATTTATGAACAGATTGTTAAATCCCTACGCCAACTCCTTCTAATCTGAGCCCTGAGCTTTGATTGCCGCCTGGCTGTCTGAGTAGATATTAATCTCCCTTACCGTAATTTTTCGTTTTCCGGACCACTGTAGCGTCTTTCAGGCGGAACTGATGGAAATCGACCTAGCCACAAAACTGGTCAAGTGTGATATGATATCCCAAGCTGATATCTATATCTTCAATGACAGCCAAGTGGCAATCAAATCCCTTACGAAGCAGTCGACAACCTCCATGGTAGCCGTTAAATGCCACACATCTCTTAACGAGATGGCTGAGTCATTTCGCCCAAAGGTGATATGGGTTCCGGGACACTGCGACATTGAAGGGAACTGCAAGGCCGATGAACTGGCGCGACTTGGCATCAAACTCCCTATGAGTATATAAACGATGATATAGAAATATCCTTACAAACTTGCAAGCTACTTATCTTCGAGAGGCTCACTAAAGTATAGAACAACAGATGGCATGACCAAATCACCTGTAAAACTTTCAGGAAACTATGGCCTACTACCGAGCTTAAATACGCAAATATCATTTTTTTAGTATCTGTTATAACAGGGCACTGCCTAATTGGCAGGCATGCCTATCCACTAGGCGTGCGGCTACATGACTTCTGTAAAAGTTGTCAAGATGAAGAAGAGGAGGAATCGATTTTGCACCTGTTATGCCAGTGCCCTGCTCTATTCAGACGAAAACTCTCCACACTGGGCAGACAATTCTTCGATCACCTGGAGGACCTTAGATGCGTTGAAACCAAGGGTCTTCTAAAATTCCTACGAAGCTCAAAATGGTTTTAGGAGGGATTTAGAGCTACTGACTCCACATGCGGTATCACAATGGGCCCGGAGCTTAAGTGTGTCTTACAGGCAACTGCGACAATCTACCTACCCTAGCCCCTCCACATTCATATAATAATTCACTAGTGCCCACTTCTAACCACAGCTTCCCGTCCAATCCTCCCTAAATGAAATGTGCGTAAAGAAAGAGTTGATGGGTGATTAGCCCCACAGTGAGACGTATTTTCAGGGATGAAATTGAAGCCTCAAGTATGCTTATGTACTTGGAGTCACTTAGGTAACTGGTGTAGCTAAGGCTGCGAAGAACTTGGAAAATGCATTTAAAGCAAGTATTTCTCACTAATGTTTCTAGAAAAGGTGCCAACTTACCTCCTCAGGAGTCCTACAGAATGCAGACGGGAAGCCTTGGGCTGAGTTTCTATTGACACACTTTATGGTTTTTACGATTTTAAGTTAGAATTTTTTTTGGAGTGCTCTAGAGTGTTAGATCGGAGACTCAAACTGTTTTGGGTTCTCAAAGCTCAGCAGAGATATTGAAAGCGGAACTATCTGAGCCTCTCATTTTCATTTGTCATGAAAAGTAGTTTAACAGCACCGCAACCAGTTTTGTAAATAAATCCATTAATCGGATTGTTCTTCATACGAAAAAAATTTTCATTATTGTAGATATTAATGTACTCGTACTTTACGAAAAATGACTCTGAAGATGGCGCAACGCCGAGTTTGTTTTATTCACCTAACCATATTAGACAGGGGATGGCGAAAATGAGTTCCAAAAAAATCATACTCCCATCCCGTCCGAAGAGACAACCAACACCAATGCACTTCTGTCATTAACAGGATCTCTGCAGGCCATTTTTGCAAAAAAAAAAACTGTTTGAAACTTATTTTGATTCTGAAAACAACACAAGAAAATTTTTACAGTACAAAAAATCGAGTCCACAACAACAAATTTATAGGTATTTATTTGTATTCCATTATTTTTAGCATACACTCGCTAACATAGAAACCATGAGAGTATTCTTAAAGACTTCTAATCAATGTGTAATCAAATACATATTTGTGGTATTCACAACGGTGTTGTATGTCGTAAACTTTAAACGCCTAAAAAATATATTAAGAGAGTTCGCAAAGTAATATCAAAGTTATATTTTGAATTTTTGCAGTGTTGAAAAATAGTTGGATGTCGTTTCAAATTCTCTAAACATTTATTTAAGCTTTTAAATTTATGACATACAACAATACGACACTTACGACAGCGTTGTGAATCCCTCAAATATAAACAGGTCTTCGGCTAACTAAATACTATGAAAGAAAATATTAAAAAGAACAACGAAAAGCAGAAACAAAAGGCAATTATGATTTGAGGTCCTGCAACGCTAACCACGAAAACCGCTTTCTCAACGCAGCAGTGGGTCCTGTCGCCGACAAATGTTAGTGACTATGAATGTAGTATGTGTGTATACAAACAAGTTCACATATTGCAATGCCAACAATCAACAGCCAACACTTCCATAACAGTTAGAATTTTGTATTGCGCCTTGGTTTGCTAGCTCAGGGACAATTAAAAGTTAAGCCGTCCACTTTAACGGTCAATTGTGCATCGAACGTGGCCCGGAGCAGTTTATCGCAAGAAAGCTTTCAAGATTCACGAATTTCAAGACAAAGTACCATAGGCAGGAATTTTCAAAAAATTGTGAAAAGTGAAAATTTAACTTAAGTTTGTCTCAATTATTTTCTGAAATTGAAAATAAATTACTAAAAGTGTTTGAGAATTTGTTTACAAGTTAAAAAATAAATTAATTTTTAATTAAAATGTTGCTCTGGAAAGTATGCTCATTGATTTGCTTGCTGTGTATACATTCTACATTTCAAATTGAGCTGGATAATAACTATTTAAATGTGAGAATAATGAGTGCTACTTAAAATTTTTAGATATAGAAATGTGGGAACAATGAAACGACTTTTTTAACCGACTTCACAAAAATGAGAAAGGTTATCCATTCCTCGGAATATTTTTTTTATGTATGTTACCGCATTACTTTGGACCACGTTTACTGATTTCTATAATTTTTTTTAAAGGAAAGGTGCTATAATCTTAAATTTTTATATGAGAATTGAGGTCGGATTTGTTTTTTGCTTAAAAATTAATTGTTGGTATAAAAGTTTATGGAAAAAATTAATTTTGCATTCAGTTAATACAGGTACTCAAAAATATTCAGAACAGCCGAGAACACCAAATGGATTTTATGAGGAGCAGTGGTCGAAACTACATAGGTCCTATGGAGTGGTAGTTGCTATGCACCCGTTACAACTAATCCACAGCGGCCGGTATTGAGGAGTTGCTAAATAGTAATAATATTTTAGCGCTTATCATTTCACTTAGTGTTTGGCCGAGCTTCTCCTTTAATTTGTGGTGTGCGTCCTAATCTTAGAGCCAAATGGACTGAGTGAGAAGCTTTTTCAAGACAGAATTACACTCGGATGTTTGACGTTTTTTTTTTATTTGAATACTGCTCGGACCATGGATCGACCTCGGTCCTACGGAGTGGTAGTATGCACCTCTATCGATTTGGCCACAGCGGCTAGATTTCTAGGAAACAAAATTTGGAGATTTGTGATCTCGAAAACGGGACCTACCTCAGCTTATAGAATTTTTGGTGCTCATTGCAAACCCGTTTTCTAGATTTTTTAGCAAGTCTAGTTTTAGAGAAAAAATTGTTGTAGTGTCAAAAATAACAAATTTCAAAATTTAAAAAGAAATTGAATTTGGACATAATGTTTCCTAAGAAAAAAAAAAATAACGTTTTAAAAACAAAAGCAATTCTTTTTATGGATTCTACCTCATTTCGATGAGTTGAGTAGAAATGGGTAAAACAAATCTTGTTTTCTAGATTAAACTCGTCTCAATTTGATTGAACTGATTTGTGATTTTCGGAATTTTCGAAACTTTTCAAGAATTTGTTGCGATGTTGGTTGTAAAACACACCAAATTGTTGAAAATTTAAAAACTCGGTTAATAACCACGCCCACATCCCTTGTAACGGTAATTTAGAGAAATACGAAGTCTTCGATAAACCAGTAAATACGGAAGCTAATTTATTCAAAATTGCTGTTTGCAATAATTCATTAGCAAAAAATACGTTTATGATAAAATTTTGGAAAATGGACGTGACACCGCCTACTTATGACCACATATGTGTATCTCGGTAACCGTTTGACCAATTTGTACCAAACTCGGTGTGATTGTTGTGCTGGCCACGTATAAGCAAAACTTTGAATTACCCCACTTTTCACATAACGGTAAATTTCAGAAATGCCAGAAACTTCGAAACTTAAGGACGCTAATTTACTCAAAATTTATACCAACAAAAATCCCTTCAAAAAAGTAGCATTATTATAGAATAATAAGAAGAATATACTCTTTAATTTATTTTTTTAATTAATCAAAACGACGATTTTTCAGAATAAATTTGCTTATACCAATGTGGACATAAATTGCGTTATGACCTCTGAATCTATAGCGGAATAAGTGTAATTTTTTGTTTATAAAGTCAATTTGCAATTATGCAAATATTTGTGAGTGCAATTAGCAATCTTATAAGTTAAATTTCAGCTTTTAAAATAGAGTTCTCAAATAGGCGTCGTTTACTTACCTTTTTTTGTTTGTTTTCATATGTTAATGCTTTAATAAATGCAATTTCTATTTGAATGTATTGTCAGGAATGTATTCCAAGTACCATTAAGTATTTTAAAAACAAAAAAAAATTTGACTTTCGTCCAGTTAGATCTGCTATCCGAACCACTGTGCCATGTAAAGGCAGCATCAAGCTCAAGTCTCGGAGTCCACGCATATAACAAGGTGTCGGTAACGTCGATAACGATGTTTAACCGGAGATTAGTGTCAACTAGACTTTGAGTAAATAAACCTAATACATCCAAACCGAATCGTGAATCAGACGCACCGAGTATGACGCTTATTATATTCTGGTTATTAATAAACTTTTTCGTCTACGTGAAATTTGCTACTTTGGTTCAAATCAGAATTTATGACACCAAAAATCTGGAAATGAGCCAGTTAGGTTGACTGCCCCCAAGATTATATTTATGGCGAAAGAAAGACTCATACATTCTGAGCGCTCATAAAATTGTTTGAAGGGTACTTTTTAATTGTACTTTTTCTTTTACAGCACAAATTAAGTGGCGTCATTCAATGGAAGTATGAGAAGCGGCCGTTTTGTAATGCTTTTACAGGTATGTAGTTGTATATTCTATAACTCTGAAAAGGTATAAAATATTTTTTATGTGAAAATGCTAGGTTCTGTTTTCGCAGTGAAAAATTTACCTATATATATATATATACATATGTATGCACATTAGGGTGGTCCAAAAAAAAAGTAAAGTCGGAATCTTAATGCTCTCACCCCCAAGAATTGTTCTATATCGAAAGCGCTCAAAGTATTCCATGTATTTTATATAGGGGAAAAAACAAATTTTCGTAGAAATTGTATAGAATTCTTGACAATCAATATTGTTCGATCGAAAAACTCTGGTTCTCTTCAGGAGACTTCCAATAACAATATCCAATGGTTTATTTAACCATTTTTTAATACTGAAGAATTTTAATTTATCCTTCCAATGCATTTTCTGCCATTTTCAGGGGGCTTGGCGGACCTAAAAAATAAAAATAAAATAGGGATATATATCGATATAGAACAAATTCCGACTTTACTCAGCAGCCAAACTGTTTAATCGGAATCTTTAGAAAAAATTGTGGTATGCAGTTTTGCAGCCCATTAAATTCTAGTTTAATAAAGTGCAAGTTTCAAGTTGCTGAAAAATCCCGTTGATATTTGAGAATTTTTTTGGTTGAAGGTGTTTCACGTTTTTTTCTGCAATGCGCTGACTGATTAAAATGATGGCTTATGTACAGGGAACGGATTTTATGGAAATTGCCTTTTTTTCTGCTAAAGAGATAGAGTATATTCGATTAAGAATGTCCCCGAGTTAGCTTTCCCTGATTCCATATATACACATTTGAAGTTGCCTTTTTTTTTTTGCCTTTTTTAAGATATTTGCCTTTTGTTTGCCTTTTTTAAGATATTTGCCTTTTTTTCATATATGTAATACTCCTATATTGGCAGTAAGAGCTAGTACCGTCCGAAAACACTACAGTACAGATATATCAATAAACACGTACGAAAGAAAAGGAACACAAACGTTTATAAATAAACATGTACACAACACATAAACAAAAACGGCACTCAAGTACACAATACATTGATAAAAACAGTACTAGACTGTCTCGCTTTGATTTCGGAATACTTACACATTGAGAAGTTAGCTTACTGCCAATATAGAAGTATTACATATATGCTTTTTTTGCCTTTTCTACCTTTAAAAAAGTGATTATAGCATTTACAATTTTTCAATGTTTCTACACAGAGTTGGGCATTATTCGAATAAATTGTTATTTAGATAATCATTCGAATAAAATTTTATCCGTAATATAATTATTCGCAGATAACTTATTCACGAATAAATTATTCGTGAATAAATTGCTTGCGAATAATTTATTCGTTATTTTAAATAATGAATAAAAACTCATTTTTAACACATTGAGCCACCTTTTATTTTATTTTATTTCTATTGTCAAGGATTGTAAGTTAGCTGAATTTTGTTTACTATTTTATCAAGAATACTAGCCCATTCCCTCTGGTTTCGCGGCCCCTGATAAGATTTTTTGCGTTGGCCAATGCAAGAATAGCGTTGAAAACCAAATATGGGTAAAGTAAAAATTCTCACACATATTTCGGCCAAAAAAATAGCGCTCTGATGTTATATGCAAGAAAAAATTCCTTTCAATGTCATGAGCTTTACCAATGGTCTTATTTCCACTTGTGAGATCTTTTCTAAGCGTGCGTAATCTTCTTCTATGATCTTGCAACTACAACATTGGTCTGATGCGTCAACCTCTAGTCTTATGTCATGTAGGCCAACAAAAGTCCTTATAAGGATGCTGAAGAGCACAGATGTGCGTTTTCTATTATAGGAGAGCCAAAAATCCTCGATGTAAAATTTGGCCATTGATATAGGAATTGGAAGGATGTGGTCGAAACTTTCCTTGCTGATTCGCCACTTTTAAAATATCCAAGACTGGTTTCCTTGAGTCTTACTGCTGCCGCAATGGCCGCCCGAGCAATTTCATCAAGCGAAGGTAGATGCAAGGTCGCATTTAGGGTATATGACGACGTGGGACATCGTAAATTCGTATAATATAAACATAAAAAACAAAGGAGTCCAGACATATGGG